CATAGGGTTATTACAATCATCACAGTTCAAATCACTAATTATTAAAATCCAAAGTATTATATATTCCCACCTCCGGCTCCGCAGAGGATTCTACAAAAACAAAAGAGCATCAGTCAGGATAAGGAAAAATATGTAATTTTTTTGAGTAAAATTGATATTTTATACTTATCCTGACTCATGAGGTCAGCCCTCCCATCCTCCCCAAATAACACTTTGGATTTCCCTGTAAATTCAAATGTTGGGCTCAGTATATGAGGAGAGAGTGAGGCACATGGGTAGAGGTGGCGCCCTCGTTCCCGCTTGTGGAAGGGAGGTAACTCGTGGTGTACTAATTAGTGATTTTACATTGAAGGGAACTTCAATTAGGGAGATACAAGTGTTCCACTATGTTCGCAAGAAGAAGAAGACAAGCAAAAGAGCATGAGTCAGGATAAGTATAAAATATCAATTTTACTCAAAAAATTACATATCTCTTGTTACCTGTCAGTATATATACCTGAAATATATATTCTGTGAATGAAATTTTCTCTTGTTACCTGTCAGACATTCTTCCTCTCTGAATTCTTTCTCATAGCCTGTAGTATCAGATTGTAGGCACTGAATAATTGACAACATATTTGAGATAACATGTCAAACATGTAGTTTACAAGTTTGCAAGAACAAGTTCGATTGCAGAGAATGATTCAAATAAAAATTTCTGCTAACAGATTGTTTGTTCTTTAAAGGATCATTAAGCTTGCAAACATAAACCTTGAATAATGTTTTTGTTGAGCAATTGTGCAACAGTTCTTCAAATATTACTTTGATTAGTCACTTATGAAAAAGACAATTTTTAACATGCTTACTGCTTATCATGAGTATACTCGTGTTATCAAATGTAACATAATTTGCCACTACGAGTTATCTCGTAGCTACATCAAGGGTATTTTAAAACAAATTTCACATGTTGGCAAAATAGGCACAAGAAGCAATTGTCTCCTGGCAATCTTTGTTACTACCAGTTTGCTTGTTGTGTAAAAAGACCTTCTCAATCTCTGATCCGCTTCCATCATGCATAGATTGTATCGGACTATGTGACTGGAAATCCAAGTGCAGTCTATGTCAAGGCTGTGATGATGACAAGTTTGCTAACTACAGGAAGGTGGGATCGCTGCGCCTCACAGACCGGGACTTCAGAAACATATCAGAAGAGCATGGCCCTACTTCGTCGAAGAGGTCCAAGAAAGAGTGACTCTGTGTCTCGATCTTACAATCCACGTTTGGCAAACCTCCGTTTCCCGATCCTTGTTCGATGAGCATCCTTGATATGGCTACTCCGTCACATCTCCCGAAATAGCCTTTAGGTTCGTTGAACCTAGTCTCATGGGTGATCCTAACAGATTTGGCGATCCGGCTCAGACAACATCCTTTGAGGGATGGGACCCATGCATCGCAAGCCACAAAGTCAATGCAGCCGGCTCTGCCTGTGTCTTGGGATCAGTCCTAAGATACTCAGCCTCACCCTAATATAGACTTTGAAACGATGGTGCTTGTCATGTCTGTTGCATGGAAACAAATGCAGCTATTTGAGGCTCCATCAGATGTATGTCGTCAAGTTCAACCTCCAAGTTCGATAATCATACCAGCTAGGGTCTGTCAAACCTCATCGCCTTCTCCTACGTACTTTGAGGATTTATCCAGTCTGGACACCTTCATTGGTGGCTCGACAAATTGAATGTTTGCTTGTTGCCATTCATCACCTATTCAAATGTCAAAACTACAAGTCAAGACAAGAGTGAAATATCTTAATTCCAAATGACTAAGTCAGAACAAGAATCCATAGATATTTAAACTTTTGTCATGTTGTGCACTTTCTCTTCCTCTGTCAACAGTGGAGTGGAAATCACCTGGAACAAGGTTTTTAGTCACATTGTACAGCTTTCAACAACACACCCCTGCTCCAGTTACTAAAAGGGTCATCTCAGGAAGCTCAGTGCATGCAACCTGTCCCTTCTTCATCACCACCATCCATAGTTTGTTCCAAGTGCCATAAGACGTTCTTAGCCCTTGATCCTCATGTGTCACGTATAGAAGGTCTGGGAACATGCAGTATAATTTATTCCCATTTTTCAGCTTCGTTAATACTTAGATGACAGGCAGATTGCCATGTATAGAAAGGCAGGCTCAAGACACTAGAAAGACTCAAAGCACAGATTGGGTATGACGGCTCAACGAGTTGTATTCTTTCTTCTTTTATTACCGACGTAGACCCACCGACGTAAAATTGCGGGGTAGAAATTCTATGCGAAAACTGCTTCTTGAGGGGTACATGTGTTCACGCTGTGCGTGCATGAGCGCAAACAGGAAACAAGAAAAGATAACTCTAGTCGTCACTAGCACAGTGGAATAGAAGCGTCCGTAAAATGTCAATAACCAGTATAATCTCCTGCGCAGCTTGACATTGGATGAATTCAGACCCTCTGATGTTAAAATGCCATACACTCTTTGTCAAAGCTGCTCATACCAGCAGACGATGTTGTTTTGGATGCTCCCTCAGAGACTCTTACCTCAGCAGGAATCTGAGGCAGCTGTTCTGTCCCATGGATGTGTCTACAGATCCACCCACATCTATATCAACTGTGCAATTGCATGTGATGGTTGTTTGCCAATCAGTCAGCGTTAATCCTCAATCCTCCTGAGTTGTCAATCCCCTGAAGGTTTGGCAATACTTCCTGGATCGTTGATGATCCCCATCTCATCCTTCAATGATCCCATCAGTCAGTGTCCCCATTACTACCAAGTAATCTATAGTGCTTCCTCTGCTTTTGTCTTAAGTGCCTCCGCCATACAGCTGGAATATTGCTGAATGTGGCATAAAACTAAACTCACTCACTCTTAAGTTCCTGGATCACTCACATATCCTTTGACTGAGACATCCATGGTTGATATGCCTTATAGGCTAGTTACAGTTCCTCCTACATCCGACTTCTGTGCCACTGTCATTGTTGGTGCCACCTCCGATACTATCTGCGCTACACTTACCTTTGATATCTTCTCGGGGGTTTCCCGCTTCCCATAAGAGTTCTTGCCCCCAGGATTGTCAATCCTGCTTGAGTCGACTATCTCTCTGCATTATCAAGACGCTTCTACTTCAATGAACACCTCTCAGTCATAGGGGCCTCCTCATCTGCCTGTCTGCTGGGAGCAAGATATGTCCACTCGGGAGGGTACTATTAAGAGTATTAACATGCCATATATTTTTCCATGGATAGCTGATAAGCCACAACTAGTTAAAAGTGTACTTTCAACTGACCTGCACAAGTGTGCATAGGGCTGTCACTCAAAGAATCAGAAGTCTTGGCCAGCCTCCTTGTAAACTTATCATCTCATTGTTGTCGTCTCCCTAAAGATGAGGAAAATCTGTTGTGGCCGACCATCCAACCATGGGATAAGTGCATAATGTTGAATATGTTTAAAATTATAACTTTGAATAAGTATAGTCATAATATACTCTTAAGAAAAAGTAGGGGAAATTCATTTGGAATTTGCCATTGATATCGGTGTCACTCAATGTCGATATGAAAATAATGAATGTTTTGAGAGTGCATCACCACTTGCACTTCCTTATGACCATAGTTGTTGTACAGTAATTGCTCCTGAAAGATGATTGGTGTATGATGTGAAATTTGCATGTGTACGACGTGATATTATGTCAAAACTAGCGATAGTTTCTCAAATGATCACATGGCTGTTTCATGTTTTTCACATTGGTGTATACCGGTAGTCTCATTGGTCACCCAGCATAGCCCACCTAACAACTATTTGCATGATGTCCACTTTTATTGAAAAATGTAATTTAGTTAGCCAACAATGAGCAATGATTGTATTGGCAGTTAATCCTATGAAGGAAGGACGTTGTTTTTACACAGGCACTTTACGACATAATGTGGGTATTTTCAATGTGCGTTAGTAAATCTACATTCATAATCACTATCTTTTGACAATTCCGCTGTGCAAAAGTAATTAATCAATAACCGTGCAATTGGTTAATCCTTTGATTGATGTTTGTTTTTTTAACTCGGTGGATAATTCCTCATGCTGCACTTCCTTGTACATTTTACATAACATGTAATACATTTGCCACATCAGACCTTAATTCATAAGGCTGAGTATTTACTCCAGACATCCGAAATGCTAAATGGGAACCTTTGTCGTGTAATCTGAGTGGTGTTACAATTAATTATACCTGTTATAAATTCATTAACTGGCCATCAAGTGAATGACAAATAAACAGGTGTAGGTTTTTTACCACCAAACATGGTTTACATCAAGGGATACTGTTTTGAGGATACGAATGGAACTTCATTTTTACGTAAGAGATACATATAAGCATTTGCTGTGTACTTAAGTTAAAAACTGTACATATACCTATTTCCCTAAGTAAAAAGAGTGGATCACCACTTGCTCTTCCTTATGACCATAGTTGTTTGTACAGTAATCACTCTTGATTGATGATTGGTGTATGATGTGAAATTTGCATGTGCATGATTTTCATTTTGAAACAAACAAAAAGAAAATGGCTAGAAACAAACACCAACAACTGTGTGATGTAAGATGATTGTCAAAATTAATGGTCTTCAGTGATTCATCGACCCTCTTGAAAACCAAACCCACTGCACTCATTAAGGATAGTTTGTCTCCAAGACAAAAAAATGACTACAGATGGCAGTCATGATGAATCAAGGACAGGTGACATGCACTGAGATGACCTATATCAGTAAGTGGAGCAAGGATGTTCAGTGAACTGTTCAGTGAGAACTTTGTTCGAGGTCATTTCCACAACGTTGGTGAAAGAAGAAGGAAAATGCATAACATGAGATAGGATCAGTATCATAAAGATGCAATTTACAGTGAAAAATGTCTAATGTTATCATTGGACAAGACCAAAATAGTTTCTTAGCAAACGATATATCTTTTTTACAGCATTTGTTTGATCATTGCTTTGAATGTGTGAATTGTAGTGGGTGAGCAGCTGGAGAAACTGGATGAGGAAGAGGACAGAGAAGATGTGGCTCATCACTATAACTTCTGTATCCAGGATGTCAAGAAGTATTCATTCCCAACATACATACCTCCCAACATTAAGGATGATATGGTAAGTATTCCTATAGTCAGACTAGCTACCTTATTAAAAGGGACACCTATCTAGAGTAATTCTGTGGGACTGGTTGTTGCTTTTGATTTTTCACTGCGAGTACCCAGATGATATGACAGAATTTTTTACTTGGTTGTCATCTCTGCTGCGCCACCTACAAGCGCCATTGGTAGTATAAGGGTGTATCCTTGCATTGATCAACAAAGATGAAATACAGTTTCCTTTTGACTTGATTGGAAAATATTGTCATCTTTTGTACCCATAAACAGAGGCCCAGATAAGCTGCGTATCCGGGTAAAATACGCATGGAAAATTTCCAATTACGCATTGAATAATAATTGTTGCGTACCAATTACGCATTGAAAATGTTACATACGCAAAAAGTTTAAAACAAATGCGTACGGAATATATTTATAAAAATCGCTTGCGTAATGAAAAAGACATCGATTGCTATCAAGTTGTACTGATAGTATAGGACTAGTGTTGTACTGTCAGTATAGGATGAGTGATTTTTTTATGAAATCATTTCCATTATATTTAAATTGGTTTTGATTAGGTATGACATAAGGCAGAACATACTTGCTTAGTAAACTTACTCAATGACGGTGTCCTCCCATTACTCAGACAGCCAGTTCGCAGACACATTAAAACAACAACATTTACGGTTCAGTGAACAGATTATCTACTACCTGTTACCTACACATTATAATGGAATAGTCCAAATAAAAACACAGGAACAAACTGAAGCTATAATATTTATTTTGAAAGATGGACGAAAGGACAGTAATTGGAATTTTTCTTGCTGCAATATAAAAACAGTTTATTTTTATAAACATTTCGGTTTAACCTTCTAGTCTAACGGGAGTCGGCATCATCATATTGAAAACATTAGCTTAGCTATTAGAAATTGCGACACTGTTGTATCATATAAATCAAATAAAGGCAAATGTGAACCTAAATATTATTCATATGAAATAAAGAAGTTATATGTTTTGCACACAATATTAAGATATATGGCGAGTGCACTTAATTACGATTTATTTAGAATAAATATTTAAAATATGACGCCATCATGTCAATGTGGCCATGGATGTGAGAATGTTTTATATTACTTCCTCGAATGAACTCTTTTTCACACTTACTGTGTATGCAGTGCCGTTGAGCATCTGTGATGGAAACTAGGCGCTATACAAGCCAATTATTATTATTATGTCCATTGTATACTACTCAAGCACATAAACTGTTACAATCTTTAGAAAGTATTGTTAAAATTAGAACACTAATTGGTATTAATTGTATCTTACATGGCAATGCAGGTCTCTCATTTACTGCGAATCAGAATGTTTTCAAATATGTACATATCTATATCTCTCCAACAAAACGTTTTCTCAGTTAACTTCTGTTGTACATATGCTATTATTGGGAGGGGGTCTTTTCTATCAATAAACACAATCAAACCTCTCAGTGACAAACCTGTTTTTATATTCGATAGTAATTGATAGTAAAATCAATTTTGAGAAGAGAAATCATTTATCATTTAATCAGAACAAAGTTCTATTTACCCACAATCAAACTTCTCAGTAATGAACCTGTTTCAGGCTCACTCTGCTCTACTCACTAGACAGTGGACTGTTCCATTATACCCGTAGGTGTTACCCTAATTAACCTTCAAGTTCAGTGTCAATTGGGGGTCTGTCAAATGGGTGTCTGTCCAATGGGAGATAACCTCAATGACATAATACTTAGGTGAGTAAAATGACTGAAATACGCACATATTTGAAAGCTGTGGGTAACGGAAAATGAAATACCCACTCAACATTCATAATACCCACTCCAAAAAAATACAGTGGGTACAGTACCCACATGAGCTAAATCTTACCTGGAGCTCTGCCCATAAATATTTCCAATTTGAATATGATGATCAAATCATTTTGAATTTAACTTAATCTGCCAGTGGTAAAAACTGTTAGGATCGAATGAAAGAAGTCAATGTACTTTCTTATACTTTTGCCTTATAATCCTTACATAATTAATTTGTTATCATCTGCTTTTAGTGAATTTATAAATTGACAGTAATATCTAGACATGTTATATATTGCCGAAGTGAATCATATCTCACACACACCCGATGGCTAGGTGCGACCAAGTGCCTGTTGTCTGCTATATATCAAAGAACTTCACTGCAACACTCTAGATCAAGTGGAATGATTATGTTGAATGCTACAACAAATGAATAAAAACAAAATACAAAACTTAAAATCAAAACCGACTAAAGTTATAGGAATAATATCAAACTATTACCTTGTTCAAGAAATGTATCCATCAATATCCACATAAAGGAAGAATATGCCATTTATCTGCAGCTGACAAAGAAACCTGTTCCATGTCATGTGTCTTTCAACAGTCTAATAAGAGAAAAAGTGATATAACGTCATAACTTGTGATAGCTTCTCAAATGATCAAGTGACTGTTTCATGTTTTTCACATTGGTGTATAGTCTCATTGGTCACCCAAGATAGCCCACCTAACAACTATTTGCATGATGTCCACTATTATTAAAAAAAGTAATTTAGTTAGCCAACAATGAGCAATGAACGTATTTGCAGTTAATCCTTTCAAGGAAGGACGTTGTTTTTACATGTAATTCATTTGCCACATCAGACCTTAATTCATAAGGCTGAGTATTTACTCAGACATCAGAATGGCTAAATGGGAACTTTTGTTAGGTAATCTCAGTGGTGGTACCATTAATTATACCTGTTATAAATTCATTAACTGGCCATCAAGTGAATGACAAATAAACAGGTGTAGGTTTATTCCACCAAACATGGTTTACAGCAAGGGAGTAGAGATAGCTGTATTGCATGCAATTTTTAATTGCCTAAAAACACCTTGGGGTAGACACTGTTTTGAGGATATGAAAGGAACTTCACTTTTGCATAAGAGATACATATAAGCAATTGCTGTGTACTAAAATAAAAACTGTATATATATACCTATTTGCCTAAGTAAATTTTCAGATTTTTCTAGCAATGGCAAAGTGGGGTAGTTTAGTTTACTGATTCAAATAAATCAAATGTGTATTTTCAAGGTATTTTCTCATAGGTAATAGACCTATTTTTACATGATTTGATTAAATATCGAGGTAAAACACACATAAATAGGATAACATTCGATCAGTCATTAATCTATCCTCGCATTAGAAAATCCAAACAAGCCTACACTGCTGGGATACTACAATCAGACAAGAACTGCAGAGAAGATTTTCAAATAACGGCATCTGATGGGCATCCACCCTTCCTAATGTCCCACTGTTTAGGTTGAAGAAATTCTGCAAAGGTGGACAGTATAGTTCCCGTGTCCGTCACTGTCTAGCTTGTAGCTAGAATTTGTAATTAGATTGTTAGTGTGAAACATTAATCACTCTCGATTCAAAAATAGTACGACTAAATACGCACAAATCAAAGGTTACATTTCGTCCTGCACGCAAATGTTTTATAACAACGACTGACTGACTGAATTTGGTTTTACGCTGCTTTAAGCAATATTCCAGCAACATCACGGCGGGGGACACCAGAAATGGGCTTCACATATTGTACCCATGTGGGGATTCGAACCCGGGTCTTCGGCGTGACTGCACCTTTAACAATCGATCATGTAGTTCTTGGTGTTTTAATGATGTTCATGCTGTTGATCACTGGATTGTCTGGTCCAGTCTTGATTATTTACATGCCGCTGACATAAAGCTTGAATATTGCTGAGTGCGGTGTAAAACTAAACTCACTCACTCACTGTTACACCATAGCCATAATTTTTGTGTACATGTATTAACATTATAGAATCCTAACATTAATTGTCAGTTATCGATCAATGCAGATATAGATTTTGGGGGAATATGTTTTAGGAACTGTCTATACTTTTCGTGAAGAAATAGAGGCATTCACTTTGAAAACATAAGAAGCATTATTATATATATATATATAAGAACACAAATCCGACCGTTGGGCGACAGTACTATAAACTGCGACCTTTGGGCGACATTGCCGTATATTACAAATTTACATTGATTTATTATTCTATTTGGGTTATATACATTTGAATTTGATAATTAAACATAAAAAGGGGATAAGACCTTGTAAATATATACAAATAGAGAATATATTTTTGGTGTCGCCCATACCGTGTCGCCCAAAGGTAAAGTGTACGGCATACATGTATATATGCGACCTTGAGGAGACTGTCGCTCAAGGTCGTATATATATGTCGCCCAATGGTCGATTATGTAATATACATATATATGTTGCACAATGGTTGCTGTTTAATACTATATACGTGTATACATTTCTGTGGCTGCTTATTTGATACATGTCGCCCATTGGTTGTTTTGGTGTTTCAGTGTCTTGCGCGCCGAGAAAATTGTCTTTCATATGCGTGCATGAAACTGACCCTCCTGTTTCCGATGTTTAACATCGCACATACAATCAATTGATACTTTTGTGCTTAATTTTCCCAAATATGATGCAGTCAAACAAACCAGACTAGTTAGAATAAACAATGAGATTATGATTACTTGTAATATTTCTAAAAATATGATGCTGTAACATACATTTATCATTTGGCTTAACTTGTTTCCCGCTCAAGCGCCGATGTGCCCTTGCTTTAGATTAGTTTTCGTTGTTTACCACTCATGGTTTGCTATGGAAAAAGTTTTGAGGATATGTTAAGCTTAACAAACAACTATATATGACATATTCTCATACTCAAACACCGAAAACCTCTATAGGAAATCAACACCCTGATGAAGACAGGCAGATATGTAGTCTTTCTTTCAGGGGGTAAGAAAACGACATCGTATCGCTTCCCGTGAACGAACAAGAAAAGACGATTTTGTCAGTAAAGACGTAACATTTTCAATTAAAAATCATTAAACAATTTTATGTATCTTTTCAGTTCTAATTTGTTTTTGCTAGGCATTGTATTATATGCAGGGATTAGAATTA